TGTCAGCATTAATATTCTTCCACCAAACATTGTCTCTCAGGTATGCAATTGTTTTAGTGGGTCCAAGGTGAGCAAGTATTGAATGTGCATGTGATATTAACATCTCTCATAGGCATCTGTCACTGATCTGGATGTCTGGAATGCAGAGTGTTCTGCAGTCATTGTCTTGCAAGTATACTAGCCCATTGCTCACTTTGAAGTTCTTGTAATTCTTAGGGTTCCACAGTATCTCAGAGAAGAATTTGTCTTTGCCATACTGGTCACAGATGCACTCATGTACATCAAGACTTGGTTCACTGAGTGAGACTAAGTCTGTCAATGTCACTGGATTGTCAAGCAGTAATTCTGACACTGGCAGTGGGTTGTTCATATGACAGCTGTCATCACTGCCCTTGGTTTGTGTCATGTCATTGTCCTTCCAAGGATACATAGTTCATCTTTGAAAAATTGTAATTTATGTTTGCTCAAGTAAAATTTGTGCTCACTGTGGGACACTACCTCTGGGTAGCATGCAATTAGGGGGAAAGCTGTAGGGTAATCCCTAGGCTCGACCCAAGGGGTGCTGAGTAGGAAGGAGATGTAGAATACAGTGGTAAGGTCAATCAAGGAGTCAAATATGGGGCACGGAATTTAATTCTGCAGAGATGTAGGCAAATTGGGAATGAGTAGACTTGTATATGAAATTCTGAGTGATGACCTTGGCATGAAGAAGTAATTCCAAGACTCATGAGACATGGAGGTGAGACACAGAAACACAGAAGACACAGTAGACACAGAGTATGCAGCAGACACTTTGAACACTTAGACACATGAATGACTCAGATAGTGACTCCAAAAGATTGGTGGTATATTTCTGACATCATGGTGGAATTATATAGTACAAGGGAAGTAGGTATGAGTTGGAGTAAGGTGGGGTGGAGAAACTAAAAGACCAGAAAATAAAGGAAAGGACATCAGATGTCAGCAAAATACAGATGCATGTGAAATAGTCCAGTGGGTAGTAGACAAGAGTAAGAACAGGACAATGGTAAGGGGTATCTTCCAACAGAACAAGAGTATGCATACAAGTTGGAGGTGGAGCTGAGTGGCACAGGAGGGCAGAGCATAGCATACTGGCATGAAGTCCAGCTTGTGGAATTTAGGGTGACAGGGGAAACTGGAGTTTTTTAGAGGTAAGTGGCACAGATGACTGGTGATGTGGCTGAGCAGTGGCATGGCTGCTGAATTCCAGGTGACTCTGCATGAATGCAGAATTTCCAGATCAGCATTTTGATGACTGAATGACATGCTGAAGGTCAGTAGAAACTCCAAAGGTGACAGGGGTCAGGAGGAAACACAAGGACATGAGCAGGAAAAATTCTGAAATGGGTTTGTCATAGAGGCCTGTGGAATTAAGTGACAGATTCCTGTTCCAGCCTCATGGAGTATATGGCTCCCTACATCATGTAGAGTGTCAATAACCATTTTTACATGGCAGACATGTTTTTCAGGCAAGTGGGAGTAGACTACAATATCATCAAGGTAGACATCCATAAGGTTCCCTATGTATGGTGCAAAAATGTGGTTCATTAAGGATTGGTATGTAGCACCAGCATTGCAATCTCCAATCTGCATGACCTGGCTTATCATTGTGCCATCAGGGGTGGTAAATAAGGTCTTGTGCACATCTTCTGGAGCAACCCAGATTTGTTTGTATGCATCCTTTCCATCTAATAGTGAATGATATGGGTGTGAGACCATGTTGTGCAGGATTGCCTCAATGTCTGGCAATGAGGATGCTAATTTTCTCATGTTGGCATTGCATTCACAAATGTCCAGTACTGTCTGCAATCATAAGGTTCCATCCTTTGTAGGTTTCTTTAGCATTATCATAGGGACAGAATTAGTACCACTATGAAATTCCCAATGCCCAGTCTGTAGGTAATCATCACACTTCACATGCCAGAGGGGTTTCATTGCCTCAGGGCAGCAAGATGGCCACCAAGAGTAGACTTTATGTTCATCAATCAGTGGTATTATGTGATTTATTGCCCAGAGGGGTGGCAAAGGTGTCTCAATGGCTTCCTTGCATCTTTCCTTTGCATATTCACACAGCTCATCCCAATATTTCTCAATCATGTCATTTTGAAGTTCAGTAGCACAGGACTCAAGGGTGATTGTCTGCACACCATGGATAGGTAGTGAGACATCACTCCAGACAGTTACTAGGGATGGATTAAAGCTGAGTAAGATTTGATGCTGGAATAGGAAAGGCATTCCCATTATTAGGTCATATGAATCCAGGTTCACCACGTCTAGAATGCACTTCTCATTGATATTCTGATAACAGATGCTGGGTGAGGTCATAGCCTTTACTTTACTATGGGACCCAGAGACTGCCAGTTGTAGGTTGAGTGGCTGGTCAAGAATATCAAGTGGTAACTGTAATTGGTCCACCAATGTAGTAGATATGAAGTCTGAGAGCAAGCCTGAGTCTAACAGGGCCCAGCATGGCTGGTCATTGATCTTCACTACCACAATAATGGGTTTTGGCAAAACCCACAGTCCACCCTTGACCCCTGCAGAATTCTGCTCAGTCACTGTGTCACTAGACTTATGTTTCTGTTTCATGCCAGGGAGATTGGTTGCAGCACATGCTAATGTATTCACTGTTCCAGTACAGTTATCCAAGCAGTAGCTGTTGCCATTACACAGTGTAGATGCCCTAGCTTCAGAGTCCATGAAGCTCAAAATGCATGGGTTCCACTGCTCGAAGAGGAGCTCATCATATCGCTCAGACTTCTTCAGGTGAAGCCATTGCATGATGTTGAAATCAGGATCTATGAGGTCTGAATAATACAGTAGGCAGTCTTTGTTAGTGTACCAGTCAATAAGGAGGTACATTTCTGGTCCTCCATGCTCTGATATTTTGAAATGGCCTGGCTGGAAGGGTGAGTTGCTGGGGATGTCTGTCTGGTCTAGCATGAGGGGAACTGCATCATATAGGGTTGCAATGGCTTGTGCTTTTACCAAGTCCCTTTTAGCTTGTCAGAGCTCAGGTGTCTCAGAACACACTATAGATGTGGCAAACAGGCCCAAGTCAGTCCCTTCCTATAGTGCAGCCAGTCATACTTCTGCTGCTGAAAGTCCCACAGAGTTTACTATTATTTTCCTATTGCTATAAGGCTTAGTGTGGGTCTGCCAGCACTTCAGACAGTTCCACTCAATGTGGTTAGTTGCTTCACAAGAGAAACATTTCCCTTCAGCACAGAGATGCAGTTTCCTTTCCTTGTCAGGTTTCTTATCCTGGGCTCTGCCCATATTGTTATCACTCATAGTTGATGAAGTTTTAACAGCAGCAGCACTGATCCGATCTGTGGTGTGTGTTGAATTGGCAAGGGAGTTTTCTATTTCTGGGCTCATGGTTTCCAGCTTGGTGCTGATGCCACTCCTCATCAATAACACGTTTCACCTTCTCATACCTGACACACTTAGACTCAAGAGTCACTAAGGAGATCATGGTGGCATCATACCCATTCTTGGTGAGTTCCACTCATAGATAAGGTTGGCAGCACCTCCAGAATGCTAACACAACCTCACACTTGCCTATGTCTCCAACAGTGTCTGCTATTTCTTGGAGTCAGTGCAAGAAGTCCAATACTGAATGGTGATCCTGATGGCATGCATCAAATTTATCATGTTGCTGCATCCAGAAATCTGCTGGGAATATGTAGTCAAAGAGTGCCTTGAAAAATTCAGTGAGGGAATATTGTTTTCTCAAACCTAGGATGTCCCTTTTGTAGAACTGGTAAGCATGCCCACTCAAGTATTTTCCAGCAATATGGATACTCTTTTTGTGGTTCAAGCATGTGAGTTGTACCCAATCACAAAGCTCCCAACACCATTTCTTGAATAGTCCAACCTGAACTTTGCCTTTGTATGTGAACAGTGGGTCTTCCTTGAGGAATGCCTGCTGATACCTCAGTTTGTTCAACTTAGCCCAGTAGCATCGCTTCTTCTCGTGCTTCCATGCCTTTGTTTGATCTGAATCAGCTGTGATTGTGCTAGATGGTTCCTCTCCTAGGAAGTCAGACCAAAATGAGGACAAACCATCTGAGTTCGAGGAGTCATCAGTCAAAGATGAAGAGTCAGATGAATCCCTGGGCACAATTGGTCTGCGAGGTGGGCCTCCACTACCTGGGAAGGGGTTCCTGCTACCCTCCCTGCCACCAGATCTGAAATCTGATGAGTCTGGGTCATCATCATCAGGGTCCCCATGCATTGCTCTCAGAAGCATGCTCTGGTGGGGAAACACACTCATTGCACAGGCTAATGGGGTGGTTCTATGGCCAGATACATCAGCATACTCTTTCTTCTCATTTGGTAATGTCAGGCCTTTATGTGTCTTATCATTCATGAAGTTGAGCAAGTTCACAGCTTCACATCAGGAAATTAACACTTTACTATTTTTGACCTTTTTGTGACTTTTTGTGACTTTTTTGTGACTATTGTGATTATTTGTGACTTGTTGGGAAGGAACCTACTATCTGTACTTTTTTTTTGACCATATACAGCATTTTGAAGAATGAAAAGAGAACAGAATCTATTGAGACAACTAAGTGATGATATATCTGAGCCAAGAAACTAGAAAATGTCTGAAAATTCAGAGATATTGAGCCATTGGTGTGATGCACACTGTCTGAGAGAAAAATCACAATATCTCCTTGGAACCTCCATCAATTTGAATGTATGTGGTATCTACTGAAAGCTATGAATTATGTGGTTTGAACAAGACCAAAATCAGCAGGAAAAGAAAAGTGCAGCCATGCCTGCAGGACATGGGTAATGATAGTAGATTCCTTCCCAAAAAGCCACATTAGTCACAAAAAGTCAAAAATAGTAAAGTGTTATTTTCCTGATGCAATATTCTCTTTCTGTTCTGGTCTGAGCCCAGACAATCCTATTCTTGCTTTGTTGCAAATATTCTCCTTTCTTAGAGAATTAATAATAGCTTGCTGCTCTCAAATGATTGTCATTGGGTCATCATCACCACTGTCATGTGGGAGGATGAAGGGTAAGTCATTCTCATATGCTTTGACAGCTCCACCATCTTTGATTGCATGGCCCTTCCCTTTTTTGGATGACACAACATGTGGTTCACCCATCATTGAGCTGCTATCAACTTGTGGCTGTGCTGCTATGGGTCAAGTCCATTCCTATGGGATCTCACCAAGGTAAGAGTCATCTTCCTCAAACATGGACCAGTCCAGCTGTCTCACTGGTGCTGGTGTATATTCCTTCATGTGCAGTATGTCCAGCCTTACCCGCTCTTTGGGTTTCTCTGGTTGATAGCTCTCATTCCATACTACAGGCCTTCATAGTTTAAATTTATTAGCAGGAGCTGGTGTCTGTACCAAATCAAGATCCTCATTCATTTGCAACTCAGCATCCATCTCAACTACTGTGTCAAGGTGATGGCACTGGACACTGTCATTGTTTCCAGTGCCCATCAGTTCTTGGACAATGCAAACTGAAAATAATGCATATCCATCTGTACCACAGTCTGGAGACTCAGGAACTGTGGGAGAGGTCACCTGACAGATTTGCATCTCATCAGTGATGCTCTCCCCATTCTGCTCAGTCTCACCAAATAACCAGGGGCCATTTGCCATGGGTTCCATGGTCAAGCACCAATGCTTTATCTCACTTTTGACACTAGCTGGAGTAAAGGAAAACATGTTCAGCAAGTTGCAACTAGGTGACTACACACTCAGTTGATCAGACCAAGATGGAGTTTGACATCATCACGAAGGGTTTTGACTAGAGGGAGTAGAGCAAAGAGAGAGGGAAGAGGTAGTTCAAAATATGTGATGGTCACAGGACTTGGTCACACTAGTAAGAGTGTTTCCATCAAAAGGTCTCAAGCATCATTCATCAGAACTGGCCAAGGGTCTCTCGATAAAAAACTGCGCCCTCCTACCTACTACATGAGTCTTTATATACCTACGTACACAAAGGACTGTACTAAAGAGGAAGTATTAAGGCTGATATATTGTACTTGGTTCCGTTGTCGTATCCGCGGGAGCGCGGGTCGTTACAGATTAGAGGTTCGATGACAGAAACACCTAATAAACGGACCAATTCGTATCACGTGCGACGGAAGCTGAGATCTGAGAGTTCACGTCGTCGGCACTTTTGTTCTTGTTTCGTTTGACATCTAGGACACCTCCATTCACCTGGGCATTCTTCCCCGCGCGTGCGCCATGCTTCTACGATATACCTTTCACGCTCTTATCTGCCCATGTTCGAATGTTCGAATGCACTTGAGATGAAATGTCGTTCAGCAACATTGCGAGTGTGTACCTTGTCGGAATCGTCGAGTTCTAGACCGATGTGGTGATGGTTGTGGAGACACAAGATCAGGTGGGGTGTTCTGGTCTTACGACCGAAACTAATGAGACAGTCGGGGTATGGTGACATGCGTAGGGCGCGCGTGAGGGTCGACGTGAGATCGGAGCCTGCTAGGGAACCCGGTGATTTCCGAGCTCTCCACGATGGCCAGTCTCTGAGGACGTCTCTGGGGCAATCCGTGTATCACGCGTCACGCTCGGTATCGAACGAGTGGGCTATTTCCGATCGCTGTAAATTAATGAAATGCAGCAAAGTGCAGCTCCGCAGCAAGCCTGCCTTAAAGGGAAGGATTAAGGCCGCCGTTGGCGCCGACGCCTACGCCCTCACCTAATTTGTGGAAATCGCGCTGTGGGCGTAGGCGCCAGCTTTGAGCGACCCTCTATTCGCACTTATTAAACTCCAGTATATATTATCCTATAGGAAGTCATCCATTACTGGCCGGCCCAAACCTCGGGTCACAGATTAGGGCAAGGTGTTATTCGGCCATCACTCATCATCAAGCACAAGTATTACTCTGATGGGCTCACGAAAGATCGACCACCAGCTGGGCCCAAGTATACGGCATACGACATCAGAAGGTGGAATTCGGATCCGATTGATGATTCAATATTTAACGCTCGACAGGCGCTGGCTCCCATATGTGTACATATAATCTACGGTGACCCTCAACAGCCAACCTCATCTTGTTTCCCGCTTGTGGTGGGGCCCATCCTTCAGATCTTCAGATATGTCCGATACTAATGTGCAGTCCTTCTGGAGCGCAATCATACCTGGACTGCTTTCGAACTTGGCTCGGTCTCATCACAATCAAGAAGGCGTTATTCAGCCCAGATGGTTCTTTCGCCGTTGGCGTCTCCTACTTCTCATTTTTATCGCTCTTCTCCAAGTCTTTGCTTGGATAGCCCTCGGCATATATCACTTGGTCACAGACAAGGACGACTTCCGAACCACGAGCTTTTCCATCGTGATTGGCACGATGTGGCTATACAATCTTCTGAAGCCTGTACTTAGTCCAAGACGCACCGCATATATCGACCTTTTCGTCCTCTATACTATTCTCCTGGGCTTCGGTGTCATCCGTATCGGAATTTCCATTTACCATTTCGGAGCCGCTCCTCTTACGATTCTGGAATGGATCGGCATGTCCCTCAATCTCATGGCGATCACTGCAGGTCTGGGGGTCATATGTACCATGCCACTGACAAATCCACCTGACGACCTTCGGCGAGAAATCGTGAGTAATATCCAACCACCGTCAGCAAGCTGACTTTAGTTGTCAACAGTATGTCCGGCGTTCACCCGAGGATTACGCCAGTATCTTTGAGTGGGCCACTTATAGCTGGGTATACCCCCTCATCAAAATTGGAAACACTAGGGAAATGAAACCCGAAGATGTTTGGGATCTAACCCCAGCTATGCAGTCCGAATCGATCTTCAAAGAATTCAGCACTACCAGGTAGGCTTAGTTCAGCACGAACAATATACATGTCTCTGAGTAACTCGCAGAGCGGAAACACTTTGCCGACGATTGTGGGCCCCCAACTTCAGTGACCTGTGGTTCGTTGTTCCCTGGTACACAAGTTGAAGTTTACTGATTTCTGCAGTCTTGACATCCTCCTCACTATAGTCACCGTGCTGCTGAGTTATGCCGCGCCCTATTTCCTGTAGTGAGTACTACAGTTCACGGTCGATTACTCCGTTTTGAATGCATATCCTCAGCCAAATTTTAAATCTGATTGAGAACCCTACCCGAGAAAGCCGTTCGAAGGCCTATGCACTGGCGTTAGTTGCATTTGTTTGTGCTGTGTTGAAGGCACGTCGGGTTGTCGTCCCTCTCCTCTCATCCAACTGTAACTCACCATCGCAGGGCGAAGCTGATGCCCAACATCTTTTTTTCGGCAGGCGTGCCTCAGTCCGTGTTAGCACGCAGCTCACGAATGCGATCTACGACAAGGCACTCAAGCAATCCGGTGTTACGATGCAAGAGCCAGCGTCCGAGACCGGTCCTGCTGTGGCCTCCCCCAACTCCAATCATCCCAAACGAGGCGCAGGTGGTGGGAAGATCGTCAGTTTGGCGGCGATAGATGCTAACAAGGTTTCCGCCATCATTGCGAGCGCTTATCTTCTTTACGGAGGTATGTCGAACCTCCTCTCGAAATGACAGGCGCCGTAACAGGTCATCGAAAGGTCCTTTGGAAACCATCCTTGCGTGCATTGGGTTGTACATGTGTGTTCTTTTAAATTTGACAGTCTGTCAATTAATTTACTTGCATCCTAGGCTTTTGGGTTCTGCAGCATATGCAGGTCTTGTGGTTATGTTGTGTGCTTGGGCACTTCATATTTGCATCGCACAACGGCAGGCTCGTTCCCGAGGAGAACTTTCGGCGTCCCGTGATCGGCGTATGTCTGCGCTCTATGAGCTGATCAATGCCGTCCGGTTCATTAAGTTCTTCTCGTTGGAAGATGATTGGATTAAACGAGTCCAACGTGCCCGAAGCGCAGAGATGGATTGGTTAGAGCGATGTTGGTGTCTGTCGTGGTGCCAGGCTGTATGAGCTAACCTACATTGCATGGCCAGTCCGGATGAAATCTGTGCTGTCGACCATAGTATGGACAGCAGCTCCTGTGCTAGTATCCGTCGTCTCTTTCTTTGTTTATGTCGACCGGGGTTATCAATTAACACCTTCAGTTGCGTTTACGGTAAGATTAGATATGTGTGTTTCAACACGGGCTGACTGTTTTGCGTAGACTATTGCTTTGATGAGCATGCTCCGGTGTGCAATCACTAGTTCAGCGATTCGATTAGGCTTCTGACTTTCACCCTATAGACAACCCCTGAATGTCTTCCCCAATTTTCTCGTGCAAGTTCTTGAGGTGTACCCTGATTTTGACCGTTTCTGTTTGAATCAACTTACGGGTGCTTACAGGCCCGGCTATCTCTCGAGCGTATCGAAGCATTCCTCAACGAGGAGGAATTGTCTGATCTGCCCAGCGGGTGCCCAGAAGAGACCGATGATACCATTGCTGTCAAGAAAGGTCGCTTCAAGTGGAAGAAGGTTTCAAATGAAAACATACACCTATCGCAAGAACAAAATACCGTGCAACTGACTTTACCAACCGGACGAAACGAAGCTACTCCTTCGGTTTGTCCAGGGAAAAATGCGTTGACGGATGGGAATCGCTTCGAATTAAGAGATATTAACGTGTGTTTCCCAAAGGGCGAGTTATCACTCGTCACGGGACCCACGGGGTGTGGCAAGACTGCACTGCTGGTAGGCATTGATTAGAGTGCATGAATAGCTTTTGAATATCCAGGTACTCAGTTGGCATTGTTGGGGCAATTGGCCATGGTCAAAGGAACACTCGTGAAGCCCGGGGGTATGTTCAACGCACTTTCGACAGCAGAGGTGGTGTGCCTTCTGATAGCCATTGCGAACCTCCTATTTAGCGGCGATTTCGTATGCTGCGCAGATTCCGTGGCTGCACAGCGGAACAGTCAAGGAGAACATCCTGTTTGGATCCCAATATGACGAAGGGAGGTACGATAATGTGGTGGAGCGCTGCGCATTGCGTTCCGATCTTAACCAGTTGCCGGAGGGCGACCAAACACAAGTTGGTGATAGGTAGGTTGACTTATGCACTTGAGGTTGCACCACACTGACTCGCATATTATCTAAAGGGGTGTGAATCTATCAGGAGGACAGAAGGCTCGGTATGCTGGTTACTTGGTTTGGCGGCTTATGTCTTGACTGGATTCTCATGCAGGATTGCCCTGGCGCGGGCAGTCTATGCTCAAACCCAGTACGTTTTGCTGGACGATCCCTTCAGCGCGATTGTACGTATCAAATGTTGTCCTTTCTCAACTCTACTTTACCATTTAAGCCCTCTACAGGATACCCAAACATTGCGCTACTTGTACGAGCGGCTGTTTTGTGGACCACTTTTAGCGGGCCGTACCGTAGTAAGTACACGAGGATGGCGAGTTCACACCCCTTAATTTTTTTGAGTAGGTCCTCGTTACCCATTACGTTGGGCTTGTTCTCCCGAAGGCAAACTATATAGTTTGCATGCAAAACGGCCAGATCATCACCAAAGGTCCTGTAAAGGATCTACGGGAAGAAGGACGTCTGCCTCCGATATTGCAGAATTTGACAGGAGAGTCTCAGGACGTCCAAATACACCAACTGGTAACTGGTGATGGTTCCAGGCAGCAGATACCGGACGAGAGTCCAGGAGGTGTTGCGTTCTCCCCCTATAAGACCTATGGCCAAACGTCGTACGTAATTAACTGCTGCTCTGGCGGAGAAACACTCAACGTAGAGTAGACCCCGCTGGATGTGGATTGCTTTTGTTTGTTTGGTCGTGATGTCACAATGTATGGGCGTGGCTGAGAAGCTTTGGATACGGGTTCTCATTTTTCTTCACCCAGACCTCGATACTGATTCGAAAACACAGGAATGGGAGAAAGCCTACGGTAATAACCAGGCAGGCTCTCTGGTGTGGTACGAATTGAGCAGGAATGCTTTCCTTGATTCAGTCAGCAACACCTATCAACAGACCCTAGCGCTTCTTCCCGACGCGAGCGATCGCCCACTCCTCTATGTCGCGCTTTATGCACTAATTGCTTTCATCATGGCTGTTTCTAGTGTTGTGTCAACCATAGTGTTGTACACCGCAACTCGAAAAGCATCATGTTCACTGTTTTCTCGCCTGCTGGAAGATATCGTCCACGCTTCCCTGCCTTGGCATGACACAACACCTAGAGGTAAGGAGTCCCGCCCCTCCGCATACACCTCTCGCAGTTATGATTTGTAGGTCAAATTCTAGACCGCTTTAGCAAAGATATGCAAGCGATTGACGTTACCCTCTCTAATGATGTGGCTACCGTTGCTGGTGCTTCTGTCAACTTCATTGCAGCTGTTTTTACTGTCCTGTGCGTGGGATTCGTGATAACGGCTAAAATTCAACGTGATTAACTACATTCACTTTTAGGGCATTCTTTCCTGCGTTCGTCATTCCAGCAGCATTTTTTGCCTTCTGCTACCATTTCGTCGGGACACAATATTTAACTGTCAACCGAAAATTGCTTCGAATGGAGTCAACTTCCCGGTCTCTTATCTTTTCTGCCTTTGGAGAGCTTCTGGATGGTATCGTGACGATACAGGCACTTAGGTCTGCACATCGCTTCATGGAAGATTTTCATCGGAAGGTGGATGTCGCCAATAAGGTTCGTTATCCGGCTCCGGGTTATCACAGCCGGCTGATTGTACCACCCCTTCAAGATGCACTACAACTCCTGGATAACGAATAGATGGCTACTCTTTAACTGTGATGTCCTTGGGGCATGCGCAGTGTTAGCAACTACGTTACTCGCGTTATCTGAGCATGTCGATGCAGGAACAGCCGGCCTCTGTATGACCAGTGCAATGCTTTTCTCGATGAGCATGTATCTCGTCTGCCGATTCGGGGCGTCCCTCGGGCTTGAGTTGAAGTAAGTTCCTGTCTCTACTCTCTGATGTATCTTTCATTCTCCTGCAATAGTGCCGTAGTGCGAGTGGCGGAATGCTTGAGTACCATTGAAGACCCCCAAGCTATCAGTCAACATGGCGGATTTCCCGATCACCTATCCAACCTGTCCGTGGAGAAGCTCTGCGCCAAATACCCTTCACGCCCAGAGCCTGTCTTAAAGAACGTCTCATTCACCTTGAATGTACCCGAACGCATTGCTATTGTCGGGCGAACGGGAAGCGGAAGGTCCACGCTGGTCAACAGCATATTACGATTCGTAAGAGCCCCTCGATTTTGCCCTCGTTGGATGTTGACTGTCGACTTAGATCAACCTATCGGGCGGTCGTGTTGTGATAGGCGGGATTGATTTTTCAACAATTGATGCTCGTACTCTGAGATTACACATAGTGAGCTTTCCCTGTCGTCGATAAGGTCCATGCTCAGTGACACCTTCCAGACCTATATCCCTGAGGTACTAGTACTCATCTTCTAAGAATATATTGTGTTTGATCGCATTTAGGATGCCACGTTGTTCTCCGGAACACTACGAGAGAATGTAGACCCACTCCGTCCGTTGTGAAACACTTTTTCCAAGATATAGCACTGATTCACATACAGATAAGCATGAGGACGATGACTGTCTCAATGCCCTTCGCAGCGTTAGGTTACTACGCGATAACGACCACGCCTGGCGCAGTTCGAACGAGTCGAGGTGCGGTGAGAATGACACGAACTCGAGGGCTCCAATCACGTTGGATACCCAAGTCGTCCCTGGAGGTGCCAACTTTTCGCTCGGGGAACGGCAACTTATTGCTATGGCTCGTGCCTTGTTGAGACGGGATTCTATCGTTATTCTTGATGAAGCGACAAGTAGCGTCGACTTCGAGACCGACGCAGCAATACAAGAAACTCTCCGCAAGGAGTTTAAAACTTCTTTGGTTATCAATGGTAAGTGCTCTTTCCGCACTTTTTTTCGGCTGACGACAAACCGCAAATGCCTGCGGCCGCAGTTGCACATAGGCTGAGCACAATAGTTGACTACGACCGTGTAATCGTCCTGAAAGACGGACAGGTGAACTACTTCATCCACAACCTATCATTGGCTGACCGATGGCTTGTAAGGTTGCCGAGTTTGACACGCCACTCAAATTGATCAAGAAAGACGGCGGCGTCTTTAAGAATATGTGTCTCGATAGCGAGTCATACGCTGACATACGGGCTGCCATACTGGGAAAGGTGAAGAAGGACCGGCAAAAGGAGCAGTCATAATCTTTGCTAGCTTACTTCCTACCATTACTGCCCTCGGCTTGCCCTCTCAGGCTGAATATTGAAGTCTCGAACAACTCGATACTGTTTTCCTCCTAAATGACTGATTGATCATAATATTTATAATTCAGGTGTTTAAAGCCAAGCATTGTGAAGTTATTCTCGTAAGGGTGTTTCCGCTGTGATTAACTCACATAACTTGACTATTTGATGCACGAGGCATTCTTGTCAGGGAGAAGGTGAATGCGAGAGTATATGTGCATAGGTGGGAAGCAGCATATATGGACAAGAGCGATGAAACATGGAAATGACGAGGGAAACTGGCCGAAGAAAAAGAATGCAAGGACAATACAAGACCAAAATGGGACAGTATGTAAGGCTCAGCTGGGTGAGTATGGAAGGGCTTGCCTTACAATTTAATTACAGAGAACCTTAATAGTAAGAATGTGGATAGCGTGCCCTTAACAAGACCAAAGGGCTTCTACCACATGCCTACATAACCTGGTTGTTGGCCATGTTCTTCCAGTGCACTCGCAGCTCTAGTTTCTTGTGACCCAAAGTTGGCACAGCTAGTGCAGAATGCAGTAAGTCGTATTTCGAAGTGCGTGCTTCGGCATCGGCCATGATCCTGATTTGGTAACACAAGCATTCAGCATTACAGTCGCCATCACGTTACATCACAACTGTACCCACCGCCGCAAATGAGCCTGATCGTCATTTACAGGTTCAGCGAGAGCTTCTTGGAATATCGCTCTGATTTCATGCAGAGCCTGGAAACAGCAGTGCAAAAGTACAGCACACTTCCTTCGTAACAATTGCAGCGTCACATACCTGCCCTCGTGCCTCCGCCACTTGGTAGGACAGCTTTTCGTTTCTTACAATGCAATCGACCACCTGATCAATATCAAGTACCATTTACAAGGATAGCTTAGGTAGCTTGCCTTCTCTGGCACATGGCCAACTTCCAGACGAATACCCTCCCAGCACAGCCATAGGATCTAAAACATAGAAATGCCAGCTCAGAAGAGTTGACTTGGGATTGTTCTCACCTTCCCCGTGATATCTTCTTCTAGCGCTCGTTTTTCGTCCTCATTGTTCGACGCACTGAGTTTCGCCTGCAAGCTTTTTATCTGTTGCAACTCTGGACTAACACAACTGTAGTGCAAAACAGCATTAATAGACTACTCCACCCACGGTAAATATAGTACTTACCAGGCGTAGTCAATACTGCATTTTACCCTGTCTGCCTTAACTGCCTTGTCATGTGCCCTAATACACAACAGTTGCAAAGTGACGGACAAATCAGGATGAAGGTGCCCACGATACACCAGAGTGCAAGCACGCATCGACAATGCGGTAATACTCCTTAAGCACCTGTTTTGCAAGAGTTAGCAAAATCAGATTGACTCGCATTGCGAACTCAAACCCTAAAACCAAGAGTTTTTGATATAGATACTGCCTCCTGCTTCATTTTTTCTCTATTGGGGCACTCAAGAGTTGGCTTGTCAGTCTGGGTAACCTTTAGCATTTGCTCTACTACAGCCCCAACACGTAGGTCCTGCGCTGTGTTGAGTTCCTTGTCATCAGCTAGATTGCGGGATCTTGTGGAAGGTGTGTCTTATAACAAGTTGAGTGGTTGGCACCTGGAAAAACCTAGCGTGTAGATCTCACCTTTCGCCCTTGCTGAAGGAGGTTCACAGCTTGACTGAAGTCCTAAGAGTGATACAAACTCCTGGAGGGTGATATCACCAACCTAGTGTTTAGCGCAGCATAAATATGTGAGACACCCAAGAAGCCAAGCGGACTCACATAATTTCGCAAATACTTAACACCAAACATATTCGAGAAAAGCTCGAGTGCGTTCTTAGCATCGCCGCCCAACTGTCCTACCTGTCGGCACATTTATGAAAAGTTCGCCCACTGAGGGAAAAAAGCTCGCCATTGAGCCGCTTGCACTTTCAATTGCTGCACATGGATGCTACGGATGATGGTGAACCAGCTCCATTATCGAGTAGTTTACGGCCAAACATACCGAGTTCAGTAGGACGTAGAACTGTTTGCTAGATTATGGGAGTATCATCAGCCACTCCAACAGGAAGACTATTTCACGCTACGAATTCACCGAATTTCTCTAAACAATTCTTTCCTCCCTGTATCGGCTGTGTCTCGACGCCACACTTGGGGCTGGGCAATGCTATACAAGGCGGGAATGCTAGTTGATTCCGTAGATCCAGATTCTAACGCGCAGGTTCTGAACAACGAGCTATCATAGAGCACAGAAACTCACGACTTTCTGAGGGCCCGCTTTCGCCTGTCTCATTCTTCCCAGTCCACTCACTGCCGGGATTAGTTGTTCTGTATGCTGAGCATTGTACGACTGTCGTCACTAGGTATTTGTCCGCAAGGCGAGTAGACAAGGCTTTCAGGAGTAGCACGAGTTGTCGGCTGTTTGGAAGCGACAAGCCGATTGGTCGGCGCAAAACCAACGCGGGTCTAGTGGACAGACTAGTGAATGTTTCTACGAGGTCGCCTATTTCATCTCTCCCATCAAAACTGGAAACCATCCGCTTGAATTGGCGATGGACGGAATTCGCTGTGTCAATATCGAGCGTATCTGGCAGTAACTCGAGATCTTCGAAAATATTGCCTTTATGTGTAAAGCCTTCACTGTTGTAGTCCCAATCGCCATAGTCACCAAGCTGCTTTCATCAGGTTAAACGGGACTCCAACAAGGACATATTGATACTTACCGCGATCTTCTGGGTAGCACATTCCAGAAACTGTACATCAATCCCATCAACGAGTAACCAGTGCCCATGGTTGTTGGCACTATCAACTTTCAGGAGACCGGACATGGAAAGGCCGTCCGTAGCGTTCTGTTGCGGCAGTCAGTCAGTTCCCCAACCATGCAAAGAGCTTGAGAAACTGACCGCAGTAGTCTTCCACTTGAGGGGCCCATAACAGCACCCAGTGCATTGGTCAACGTCAATGGTGACTGTGGTGTAGCCTTCTTTCCATTCGCCATAAATGATCTTTGCAGCATAAATCGACCGCGGTAGGTGGGCATGCTTGATATAGCAGTCGACTTCTGTTCTAAAGGGGGACCAGAGTAGTCGATGTTGTTCATGAGGCATGTGTCTAGCAAGCTTTGCACGCGCGTTCCACAACTGTGTATGGACTTTCTTGGCATAATCCTCCGGCCGTAAGTCACTGTCCCCTTCATCGTCACACACGACATGTACCCATTGTTCACGAAAGTAGTACCCAAGCCCAACCGCAAAGCGAGCTTTGACCTTGGCGCTGGAATACACCATGACAATTAGATCACTTGTTAGCGACGATAATGCAACGCAGTCCCCATTGATGACAGGGGGGAAAGCGCCGCAGCGAGTAAAACCGTAGTGAGGCATTGTCCTCTCGTCAAGCGTGATAATGCAACATTTCGGGTCCCGATGACAGGCGAGATAGAGATCGCTAAATTCTGGAATTTTCTGAGAAATATTGGTCGCACCGAAAGCTCTATAATAGTTGGACCCGCGGGACTCCAAGTCGATGGTGAGCAGAGTGCCGTCACGTTGCATGCATGCCAATGTTGCTCTATAGATGGTTGGGAAGTCGTTATATGGAGTAAGTGGCATGCATATTTCGATACCTCCATTGGTGACGGTATATTTGTGAAGTTGTTGGGCGCTAGCAGGGCGCCATTCCCCAGGGATGTCACGCTTGTCGAACTGAAGTTGTTGTTTGAGGGATTTGATGAAATCATCCGGTCCTACCATCCTGACCTCATGACAATCCTGAAAGTAGCTTGGATCATCTGCCAGAACCAGTCCGGACCGCCGGATTCTACCACGGGGGTCCCAAGCAAAGATGCTTTGGTCGTTGGACACCCGGATGATTTGTAACTGTAAGCGCTGAAATGCTTTGTTGCCCTCTCCGTACAACATGGGCATATTCACGCCAAATAATCCCAACAAGGAATATGCCCGATCTTCAACCCGAGTCGTTTTCCGATCTGCAGCCCAAGACATTATTTGGGCCACGCAAACCTGACTCGGAGATAGGGCACCCTTCAACACACTCTCCGGGATCCGTGTAATTTTGTGCAGAGTAGACGCGTGCTTTTGCTTGCTGCCCAGAGGTGCCCATTCCTTATTGAAGAACTGAACATCTGTCGGGGCTATCAGCTCCTGGAGTGTCCAACCGCGCGAGAACCACTCGGGCCATCCAGTAGAATTGTTGTACGTCTCATTGTCTTGTTTCGTAGGAAAGGTCCGCCTTTCGACGTCGTGGAGGTACGCGTAACACTTCTTCGAGTTTTCGTACCATCGGTACATGGAACGGATGGCCTCGGAGAGCTCTGAACTGCTGCGCCTATCGATACAGCACGTATCGACCCATAGCCACCTGAAACCATCCTTCGCGGCGTGCTCGCAGCTCTTGACAATCTTGCGGTAGCCTTGGTGCTCCCTGACTTTGTTCCTCTCCTCCTTCGTCATGGTATTCAGTTTGACCATCTCATCATAGTTGACCTCCTCTCCCCAGCGATGCGATAGTATGGCGTATTCGATGCCTTCATCGACAAACTCTTCCAAAACGTTGGGGTGGATCGTGTCTTTCCCACTCTCGATAGAAAAAACAGCTTGTACATTAAGCAGCCGTATCCTACGAGTATTCATATCAGTACAAACCCAGATTCAGCCGCGACCAGACAAGACGTACATCTTCCCCTAGCAGGAATGGCACCACGTCGCGGGAAATTCTCCGGCCGGTTGGGGGATTAACTTCAGTGGCGAAGGACTCAAAGAAGAAGTAGCACAGTTCTGGAGACGATAGATGTGGGTAGAGGTACAGAGATGCCAATTTAATATTAACAGGAAGCTGGGATCCATGCGGCTACTGGAGCATGTTAAAGCGTGTTCACAGAGCATTACATCGTGTTGCAAACCGCAAGGCGTTGGCAGCCTCTGTTATTTGATCGGAGGGTTGCGAAAGATATCAGCAACGCCTTGACCAAAGTAGTCTCCATTTCCATTGGCAAACCTGAACCTTAGGACGAAACCAGGTCTATTATCGCACCTGCGGATAGTCATTGCCTGGTTGGCAACATCCACCAGGGGGAGCTCGGCTGTGTAGGAACCTGCAGATTACCACGAGTCCCGTCAACGCCTCGATTGGTAGGTAATGGTCATTTGCGATCAAACATACGAAGAAGTTTTTAGTCGACGTTCGTTGCACGTTGTCCCTAGTCAAGCTCCGCCATACGGCAGGCACATGTGCATGGGAGAGGGACAACGCATCTAAATCCTCACTCTCCGGAATGATGAAAACCTCACTTGATCTTGCCTCACGGCCAACTAGGCGCATGTTTGCTGGAGCGCTAAGAGAGACTTACTATCTCCTCCTTGTAGTGAGCAAGGGCTGCCACCTGCTTCGTGGACCAAGTCTTCTTACACAGCCTTTCTTGAATACGAAATACATCGCAGGTACGCACCGGGGGCTTCATAGTCGTCTCAAGCTTCATATTTTTGACCCTGCTCCTTCCCTTCCTTGCTGTTCACTGACCAGTCTGTTGTGACAAAGAGTAAGAAGGATAATATCTATTATATCAAGTATGTTTGGTGATCGATCAGTGGGGTTGGCGTGACTACTTGAACAGGGTATGTATGAGGGACAGCATCTTATGTAATAGTTAGGTAATCAGTTTGTTCGTACATTACCACTAGAACGCTGAGTTTACGCAATGGACAACGGACGCTATTGGTAGGGAGTGCGCCGTAGACTACACTCATCCACCAGGACACTGACTGTGCACAAGAGATGATGGACATGAAACTTATCTCCCGTCGCCGTGTGTTTGTGTCGTTGAAAGAGGCAGGAAGACGGAGGCGCAAGCAAGGTTAGCGCCGACGCAGGCGGCACTTCCCGAGTATATGTATTCGGTCGAAAACTTTCAAGCCCCACCTAACTTTGTCAGAGCCAAATCGACTCGCGATCAGGTCTGTCATTGGTTAACCCTTGTTATTAACCCGTGGGATGAAGTCCCTGAACCCTGTGGCAGGGGTGGGACGGATAAGCCTTGCGCAGAACGAGGCAACCCGAAGAACATCGCCTTTGATGGCGACCGGCGTCGCGTGTCACCTCTACTTACTCGTGTTCGAACCGTGCCATTTGAATGGGACGAATCAATATGGATATATATATCCCAGGGGACATAGTGGTGGAATCAATCCGTCAGACTAGTCTATCGCCGACGAGGACACATGGATCAACACGCGGTGTCTTATCGCGAAGGAACCACACAATGCCCATGAGGGGTCAACGATTTTCCTCGGACGCCGTGTATTTAGCTATTGCCACTCCCAGTCTACAAACACATTTCTCCTGCATGCCTTGCACACGACGACGATGAAGCTTCCTACTGGTTGCACCGAGGGGAATCTCTTTGACATATACGACGCATGCGTGCAGTCATTCTGGACCGCGTTCGTACCTGCATTCCTCATTATTATCTTCAGTTTGGTCTCGCTCGTTCCTTCGTTACTCCTAACCAGATCCTTTCATGATACCATTCTGGCGCGGTTCCGACCGGAAGAGGCTGAAGCACACGCGACCCCTGAAAATGATGACACTGATGATGATACTCGCCCCACGCGATTGATTCTCCAGTGGCGTCTCCCGTTTCTTATTTTCGTTACCTTGCTTCAAGCTTTAGCTTGGATAACCCTTGGAATATACCACTCTGTCGGCGACGAGGACAATTCTGGAATCGCAGTTTTTTCCGCGTTGACTGGCATTACGTGGCTCTGCATTGCTTTGAGGCCTGTACTCTGCCGAAAACCATCCGCATATGTCCACCTCTTCATCCTTTACGCTACTCATCTCATCATTGGCGTCGTTCGTACTGTAGTCCTCGTATCTCATCTTCAGACCACTCGCTCTGCGGCTCTGGAGGGGATCTGGATGAGTTTTAACCTCGCAATGGTCGGTACCGGTTTCGCGATAACCTCCAGGATGCCGCTAAAATTTCCATCTTCCGCCGCGCTGCAAGAACTTGTGAGTGAAGTACTCATTCAGTATTGCACAGCTTGACATGGGATGTTGACAGTATGTCAAGCGCTCGCCGGAGGATTATGCCAGTATCTTCGAGTGGGCAACTTACAGCTGGGTGTATCCTCTTGTCGAACGTGGAAACACTTTCGAGATGAAACCCGAGGACGTTTGGAGTCTAACCCCTAGTATGCAGTCCAGACCCATCTTCACTAAATTCAGCACTATCAAGTAGGTAGGTCTCAGAGTGAAAACTTCTACGTGTCTGATTAACGCGAAGACAGCCAACGCTTTTCCGCCGATTGGTGGTGGCCAATTCCAGTGACTTCCTGTTAGTTGTTCTCCCGTCCAAAAGTCGAAATCCCTCTGATCTCTGCAGTCTCGATATCGCCCTCACCACACTCACCGTAATATTGAGTTATGCCGCGCCATGTTTCCTCTAGTGCGTGCTACACTTCATGGTCGGTTATCCCGCCTTACAGTCCGTGTCCTTAGCCGAATTTTAAAATTGGTCGAGAACCCTACACTAGAAGGTCGCTCAGAGGTGTATGTTTTGGCATTGATCGCGTTCGTTTGTGCGTTGTTGAAGGTACGTTGAAATATGGTCACTGTCATGCTCTTCGCTCGTTTGATGACACATTTTTTAGGGCCAAGCCGAAACCCAGCATCTCTATTTCGACACACGTGCCTCAGCCCGCATTAACGTACAGCTCATGAATACGATCTGTGACAAGGTGCTCAAAAGGAGTTGTTCTGGTATGACGAAGGAGCTGGGGTTTGAAGCTGGACCTGAAGCCAGCTCATCTAATTCCAATCCTCCCAAACCAGACACAGACTGTGGGAAGATTGTCAACTTGATGGCGGTAGATGTCAACAAGGTTTCCGCAGCAGTTTCAAGCGCTTATATTCTCTATGGAGGTATGTCGGCTATCATTTCGACATGCGGCGGATTCCATGATAAAAAATACTTGAAAGGTGCTTTGGAGATTACTCTGACTTGCGTCACAATGCATGGGTATGTTTTTCTCTTGTTTTCGAATGCCTTTCAGTCAACCCGTTGCCTCACTGCCTCATAGCCTTTTAGGTTCCGCCGCATTCGCGGGCTTTCTGGTGATGTTTGTTGTCTGGATACTTCACATCTACATCACCCGAGCGCACACTCGTCTCCAAAGAGGTCTTTCAGCGTCCCGTGACCGGCGCATGTCCGTCGTCCATGAACTTGTAAATGTTAACAGATTCATCAAGTTCTTTTCGTGGGAGGACCATTGGATTGAACAGGTCAAGTATGCACGCGGCGAGGAGATGGATTGGATGAAACGATGTGGGTGGTTGCCATGCTACTATTATGTACTGTGCCAACTGGATGCACCATCAGCTCGCATGAACTCCGTCCTATCCGCTATAGCGGGGATAGTTGCTCCTCTGCTGGTATCCTCCGTCTTCTTCTTCGTTTATATCAAACAAGGCGAACAGTTAACTCCTTCTGTTGCTTTTACGGTAGGATCCACTACACGTGTTCAAACGTAGGCTGATCGTTCTGCCCAGACGATTGTTCTCATGGACATGCTTCGGTTTGTGGTCGTTTTAGTTCTGCACGGGAACCACTTCATCTTTATTCTTAGACAATCTCTGATTCTCTTCCCCGATTTCACCCTGCCCGTCTTTGAAGTGAGTCACCATCTAGCTCCCTTTATCGGAACTAGCTCATACGTGACAGTGCTATGTATCCCTCGAACGTATCGAAGCGTTCCTCAACGAGGAAAGATTCAATTGTGTCTACTCACCCAACAAGCACTGTGTTGCAACTGACACGCCTGATGATGGTCTTGCCATTGAAGTTGGTCACTTCACGTGGAACACTACTTCACATCTAGAATCGGACGTACCTTCACAACTGGATGGCAAGTGATTGCACAGACCGCCGTCAGGTGAAGGAACTGAAGTTGGTTTTTCGGCCGGACAGGGAAATCCATGCTGAAACAGACCAATAATTTTGAATTACAAGATATCAATGTGCGCTTTCCTGAGGGCAAATTATCTCTTGTTACGGGACCGACGGGGTGTGGCAAGACAGTATTAATGGTAGATATTCACTGGCGCACATGAATAGCTTTTGAATGCTTCTTCAGCTGGCATTGTTGGGAGAAATGACGGCGATTGAAGGAAAACCCATAACACCCAAGGGTATATCTCAAATGGACAGATCTCGTCATTCAGGCGCAATTTCGTATGCTGCTCAGATTCCGTGGATCCAATATGGAACGATCAGGGAGAACATCTTGTTTGGATATCCGTATGACGGGCAAAGATATGAAGATGTACTGACGCGATGTGCGCTGGGTCCTGATCTTGATAGCTTGGAAAATGGTGACCAAACGTTGGTCGGCGATAGGTGGGTGGACTCCCGCGTCCCGCCCTACAATGCACTTACTGGCGTGTTACCCGTAGAGGATCGAATTTATCAGCCGGACAGGAGGCTCGGTCTGTTGTCTACGCACTTTGATGGTAATATTACTGAATCACCATGCAGGATTGCCCTGGCTCGGGCTGTCTATGCCCAGACCAAATATGTTTTGTTAGATGATCCTTTCAGTGCTGTTGTACGTGCCAAAGGTTGTCCTTCATAATATTGCTTTCCCACGTGTGCGTGCTGCAGGACGCTCAGACATCGCGCTATTTGTACGACAGGTTATTTTGTAGCCCACTCCTGGAGGGCCGCACCGTGGTGGGTATCACGATACGTTTAACTTTCGGTCGCCTGAAAGTTCGTTCCAGATCCTTGTAACCCATCACATCACACTCTTTCTGTCCACGGCAAGTTATATAGTACATATACTTGATGGTCGAATCTCTACCCAGGGCTACGTGAGGGATCTCCAGGCCTCTGGTCGTTTACCTTTCGTGCGACATCGGTTGCTCCAGGAAGATCAGGACGCTGAAGTATACCAAGGGATGAGTCGCCAACGGGACGAGACGCAGACCCCGCATGAGTCCGCCTTCAGTAGACAGATCGCGTTCTCTACTTACAAGACATATTTTCAAACAGCGTGCGCAGTTCGTTGCTATTTTGGGCATAAACACTAAAACTTTACACAGATCTTCCTGGATGTGGGGTGCTTTTGTTTTGCTGATAGTGCTTTCACAAAGTGTGGGAGTGGTCGAAAAGTTCTGGATACGAGTTCGTACTGTTCTCATACCCAGGCACTCGATCCTTATTTGAGAGCACAGGAATGGGGCCGTGCTTATGGTAGTAATGGCCTGACAGGTGATCTAGTGTGGTATGGTTTGAGCAAGAAAACCTCCTTCCTTGATCCTGTTAGCAACACGTATCAGCGGATCTTGGCATTCATTCCCGATGGAAGCGGCCACCCACTCTTTTATGTCATGGTTTATGCAGCAATAGGTTTCATTATGGTTTTATGCAGGGTTGCGGCATCCGTGACACTGTATATCACTACTTCGAAAGTGTCGGTTTCGCTCTTTGATCGTCTGCTAGAACGCGTGGTCCGGGCTGATCTGCCTTTGCCCCCGAGAAGTAAGACATCCAGCCCTTTTGCATACGTTTCTCTCAGTTACCATATGCAGGTCAGATTCTCAGTAGCTTTAGCAAGGACATGCATGCGATCGATGCTAACCCTGATTGCCTGAATATGGTCGGCAATGCCTTCCTCAACGCCATTGTGGCTGTCATAACTGTCATGTGCGTTGCATCTGCGTCACCGATGAGGCTATGGTGAGTGACCAAGTTCGATTTTAGGGCATCCTGTCCTGCGTTTGTCTTCCCCGCGATAATTATCGCCTTCTGCTACCAATTTGTTGCAACACGATATCTGAATATACACCGACAACTGCTTCGAATGGAATCAGCGTTTCGGGTGCCCATCGTTTGTGCCCTTGAGGAACTTCTGGACGGCATCGTGACCATACGAGCGTTTCAAGCCGAACGTCGTTTCGTGGACGCATTTCATGAGAAACTTGACGTCGCTAACAAGGTTCGTGTTCCGGTTTTGAGTTGTTTTATGAGTTTGATCGTTCTCTCCAAGATGTACTACAACGCCTCGCTGACCAACATATGGCTGCTTTTTCATCACGACGTTCTTGGGGCACTTGCAGTGTTCGTGACTACGTTACTGGTATTGTCCCAGCACGTGGGGCCAGGAACAGCCGGTCTCTGTATATCTACCACAATGCTTTTCACGACGAGTATGTATGTCGTCTGTCGATTCGGTGCCTCCGTCGAATTCGAATTGAAGTAAGTTCCCGCTTCCGCCCCCTCGACGCGTCTTCATTCTCCTGCGCTAGTGCCGTGGAGCGGGTAGTGGAATATTTGGATATCCCCAAAGATCACTCAGCCATCGTTGAATCTAAAAGACCTCCTGCCTATTGGCCATCCAACACGAACACCTCGTTCCTATCGGTGGAGGGTCTCTCCGTCAGATACGGACCTAGCTTGCCGCTCGTCCTTAACAACGTCTCATTTACCTTAAAGGGACGCGAACGTATTGGTATTATCGGGCGAACCGGGAGTGGGCGATCTACACTGATTAGCAGCTTACTACGATTGGTGAGATATCTGAGTTCGGAACCCTTTGTTGGATATTGACTATTGAATTTAGCTCAACCCTGCAGATGGTCGTATTGTGATAGACGGAATTGATATTGCGACGATTAGTGTTCATGATTTGAGATCACGGATAGTGAGCTTTCAGTGTCCTTGAGAAGGTCCGCACTCAATGGCACTTTCCAGACGTATATCCCCGAGGTATTAACATTTATGCTGAAAGGAGTTCATGGTGTCAAACATTGTATATAGGACACTGGACTGTTCTCAGGAACACTACGGGATAACATCGATCCATTCTGTCGGTGGTGGTTTATTCTTTCGGAAATGATAGCACTGACTGGCTTTTCCAGGCGAGCACGAGGAGAAAGACTGTTTCGATGCCCTTCGCCATGTTCAGTTACTGAGTGACGACAGACAAGTCCAAGATAGTTCAAGCGGGTCGTGGCAGGCCGACTGTGGTGCCAGCTCAAGAACTACAATTACTTTGGATACCCAAGTTGCTCCTGGAGGTGCCAACTTTTCGCTTGGCGAACGGCGACTTATTGCTATGGCCCGCGCGTTACTGAGACGAAATTCAAGCATTGTCGTTTACGAAGCAACAAACAGCTTCGACCCCGATACCGACGCAAAGATACAAGAGATTCTCCGTGAGCGGTTTAAGCATGTTTTGTTAATAACTGGTGAGCACTCGTATCACGCCTTCGCTTGGCGGCTAACAGGTTGGTTGCCGATCACCGTAGTTGCGAGCAGGCTGAGCACAATAATTGACTATGATCGATTAATTGTCCTAAAAGACGGAAGAGTGAGCTTCTTATAACGTGACCATATGAGAAGGCTAATTGCCCGCAAGGTTGTTGAGTTCGATACACCACTAAATTTGATCAACAGGGAGGGTGGTGTCTTCCATGAAATGTGCCATAGTAGTCAGTTACACGCAGAGCTGGAGGTTGCTCTATTAGCAAAGATGATCAGAGATAGATAAGGTTTTCTGTAGTTGTGCTCTATGTTATCGCTCTGTCAGGGACAATATCGGTGCTATCTGGGAATGCCATGTACAGAGAGGTTATGATATTGTTCTTCCACCAATTTGTGGTTTCTTTGTTCAAACTTTGTAATCTAACATTTTCTGCCAACAATTCCCAACAATGGGACTGTCGGAGAATCAGCACTAATGCAGAGAGAATGCTAATAAGCCCAGCTGGCAGTGAAACAGGCGCCCAGTTTAACCAAGACAGCATGAACTCTATGCGTGACTACTTGTATATGATCTATGGCAATCCACGGCAATTGATTGTGTAGCTAGTTGTTACTTAGGTATCATCTTCCCAATCCTCGGGTACATCTTCTCTTACAATCGTAGCCGATTGCTCTCGTTGCACCTGTGGCTGTAGTGTCACATACGACAGTGGAGGCGGACTGCTCGGATGGGGAGGTAGGGGCCCTGACGAAGGAATGCCAGACGAAGGAGCGCTCCACAACGATGACGATGGCAGCTTCCAGGCAGATGCCGCACGAAAGGGAGGTATATTTGCAGTCTTGACAGCCGAAGTAGTAGCCTTGGACGAGCGCAAGTCAACTGGTTTACTTGAGGGCGCAGCCGACGTTGCCGACTGTGAAAGGAGTGGTACGGGGATGCGCGTGTCGATACGCCGCATGAGTTGTACGCTGCGGTGCGGCTCCTGATCGACCTCGGCAGTGTCCACACGATAAACGGAGGCGAGCTACAACACAACACGAAGCAACGCGTCAGCATGGAATATAAAAATGCCAGGAAAATAACGTTGACGTACACTCTGCACGAACTTGCGTCGTTCTGGAGGCATGTGCTGCAGCACCTGTGTGCGTCGGCTGGACTTGACAAAACTACATAATACACAAGGCAAGTTCAAACCTCGCGCAGGCATACGGAAAAGACAAGGCTTACTTTGCAAAAGTATCCTCCATGAGCCGCACGAACTTGGCGTTTGCGGTAACACATGCATAGTCCACCAACTCATCACTCCAGACGACTTTCGGGCCCGCTGCAATTTCCTCGCGTTTCTCCTTACTGATTCCAAATGCTTCTGCTAGTTTTTCATTGCGCTTCTTGATTGCACAATCTCCGCTACATGCAAGACTTTGCTTCCTGTTTGAGCAGGGAACCGTCGATCGCAGGTTTCCACATGGACAGGTAAGCGTGACCACGGCGATACATGGACCTGTCTCCGGGCATGCTGCAGGAGCATGACAGATTTCCATGCAGGGATGGTATTCCGGTAGACTGCCGACGACGGTTACACAATGACGGAAAGACAAACAAGAGAAATGACTCACCAAGCTTTGCGAGATTTGCCGCAGACCGCTGTACAAGGACCACATTCGTCCGCGTGACAGGTGCGCTTGCACTCGTGGAACCCACATGCCAAAAGTCTGAAAAGCATCCAGTCATCACGAACACGACCAAAGAATACTGGGCGGCCCAGCTCACCGTTTACAGACGTTTCCACAACTCACGCGTTCCTGAGAACATTGAACATTGTCTACCATCTTCTTCTCGCAAGCGCAGAGTTTCCTAGTCAAGAAAGGACACGGAGGACACGAGCGGGCAATACTACTCTCCGAAGAGGAAGGTAATCCCTCATCAGCAGCGTCCGCCCCAGCAATGATAGTAGATTCATGGCATGCATGTGGAACTTGTGGGTGTCCGCACGGGCGTTCTCTAACGCAAGGATACGTGCAAGTAAGATGTGTGCCACAAGGAATAGGCGGTTCGAAGACCATGCGATTGCATGGACAGGTGATCTGTTTGGCAGTGAGGAACACCAGAGTCAGCGATGAAACCAGAGGGAAATGGTACCGAGACGTACCTCTTCAAATATGCTCCGTAAGCACACCCCACAAGGACCTTTATGATCCTTCTTCTCGCAACGGTGGTTCCCGCATCCAAGAACACGAGTACATGGGATGTCACATTCGTGTAGCCCGCCAGGTTCGGTCCCGAGATCTACTGCGGCATCGCCCCGTACTTTTTTCTTTCCCTTCCCAATTGCCAAGGAAGCTAATGGACAACAGATGCGACCACACTGATGTCGGCCACATGATCGTTGGACGGGACAAGGACGACTGCAAAGGATTTCTTCAGGTACAGGTTCACTAAAACGGGCCGCCTCTGTTGATTTATCTCCAGTCAGCAGGGTATCGCTACATTTCATTTGTCGTTTCGTTGATCCGCATCGGCACGGTTGCCCAACCTCTGCCGTACATGGGGGGCATACCCCCCAATGACAGGTGGCTGTACAGGAATGGCCACACGGCAGAGATTTTGAGCATACAGAGGAGCAAACGGGGAGCGGAGAGGTACACGATGAGCGCGCGGGGAAAACGGGGGACGTATTACCACTTGCAGAGCTTGACGTTCCATCACCGACGCCAGAGAGGCGAGCTACCTCGTACCGACCGCACCCACATCGGGTGACCGAGACGGGGTCAAATGGACAAAGCAGGGGCGTGCGCGACGGAGGGTGACATGGTTTCGCGCAAGTGTGTTTCCCACAGCTGAAAGGGCTGGGTAACATACATTGGCATTAGTTAATCGATGAAGGGACAGAGTAATGATCCTCACCGGTTGCAGGCCTTACCACATCCAAACCACCCAACCCATGTCTCCACTTCTCTAATTCCATCATGTTGCGTGGGCTTCAGTGTTACACACTCTGTAGCGACCTCTGAGCTGAGTTCACCGCAAGCGACCACTTTTGTTTCGCTCCCGCACCAACACCTGATTTCCTCCTTCACTGGGCATGGTGGACAGGGATCGGCATGACAAGATAATTCACATCTATGCTTGGGGTTCTTGCATGATAGTGGTTGGGTGCAAGTGTTATTACAAGAAAAGGAACCCCGTTGAGATCCTTCAGACGGCACAGGAGACCCAGAGGCTGAACATCTGGCATTTCGCACGACCTTCCCGCAAAAGCAGGACCTTTGGACTGTTATAGCGCACGGTGGACAGGGGCCTGGGTGACACGGTAATGGACATGGATGCTTGCATCCAGAGGAGCGTGGGCGAGAACACGGGAGGGCGCAAGAGTGAGGTGTTGATAGACGCGGCGGAGAAGGATTAGAGGTTCGATGACAGAAACACCTAATAAACGGACCAATTCGCGTCATGTACGACTGAAGCTGAGAGTTCTGCACGACTTACTGATACGTCGTCGGCACTTGCTCTCGTTTCGTTTGACATCCAGGGCACCTCCATTCACCTTGGCGTTCTTCCCCGCGCGCGCGCCATGCTTCTACGATACTTTTTACGCTCTTATCTGCCCACGTCCGAATGCACTTTAGATGAAATGTCGTCCAACAACATTGCGAGCGTTCCTTGTCGGGATCATCGAGTTCTAGACCGACGTGGAGTGATCGCTTTGGGGGCGCACAAGACCAGGTAGGGTGTTCTGGTCTTACGGGACCAAAACAAATGAGACAGTCGGGGTATGGTGGTGTGCGTAGGGCACGCGTGAGGGTCGACGTGAGATCGGAGCCTGCTGGGGAGCCCTGTGGTTTTCGAGTTCTCTGCTTTGACCCTGATGACGTCTCTGGGGCAGCCTGTGTCTCCGTAGGTTGCGTCAACTTGGCGTTGAACGCTCTGCGATGAGATCGGGGTTGACTGCGTGACTGTGAGGGCTCGCTATGGGCTTCTAAATCAGCCTCGGCGGTGCTGGCATCGATGGCAGTGGACGGCTGATCGCTTTGTGGGTCAGTACAATTCCCGCCAGCTTTCTTCCGGTATGGTTTTCGTCTTATCGGTCCCCGATTTTCGGCATTTTGGGCTACTTCCTGCCTCGTATCACGTTCCGACGCCGGACGTTCGCGAGGTGGTCTTGCGGACGCGGCAGATGGTGAACTGGTGCCTTGTGAAGTAGTTGGGTCATCCGCGGGTCGTTCGTTCGCGACGGCACGTCTTCTATGAGTACGGCGGTTCCGATTAGTGCGATCAGTACTGCTGCTAGCACTTCGTTGGTTCGCAGTCGACGTTTCCATGCGGTGGTGGAGCGTTGTTTCGTCGTCGCCGTGAGCGACTTGCTTACTTATATTTACTACATATTCGAGTTAGAATGACACGCAAATTGGTATGACTCGACCTCAAAACATCCGATGACCGGACACCACCCTGGCTTGGGTCATACCTACGGTGAGGACGTACGACTCATCTTGGTGTGTGGTATGTAGCTTCAGCTTCACCGGTCATGCATGGGCAAATCGTAGGATTAACACTCCCCCGCAATCATAAGCTTACTGCTCTCCACAGAGCTCCAAGAACTGAGTCTTTTTCATTATACTTTGCTCACTTGTAGATTATGATGTCCATGACGGCCGCCTTCACAGGTTCCGAGCAACGACACCTACTCCCGTTGAAGGTACATTCGCTTTCTTAGCGTATCAGCGGATTGCGGTGGCTCACGACAGTTGCCTTCTGGAGCGCGGAGTGACTACCCAAGTGTTTCCGCCCCCCTGAAGCTACTTAACCAAGTACGTCCCCAAGCACTACAGATGGTCGCATTTTTTTTGTTGACACCCTAGCTCGTACGCGGGTGTTTCCATTTCCACCTCCGCACATCCTCATTTATGAACTACTTTCCCCAGATTCGTTGTCAATCAATACAGGCTCTCCCGCTCCTGTCCCCATACTTATGCCCCATATGTTTTCTACGTTGAGCAGTTATCCCTCAGGAATTCAGCTCCTCCATTTCTCTAATCTTCGTATCGTCGACCGGCGCCTTACCAGCAACACCCATACAGCCCGCATACACCTGCAGACCAAGTTCGCCCTACTCTTTACACGGTATCTAGCATTCTTTTCCGCCATTCTTAAATGAAGCGATTCGGGTAAGTCCAAAGATGGCTAGGCGGCACCGCGGTGAACAGAGGTGAATGGACTCAGCTGGCGTGCATCGCTCGCAGAGTGAAGTTCTGCGCGCTCGAGGCACGCTTGATAACAACCTGGACTGCCAGCGGGCGAGTGAGACTGCATTTCCAAGTGTTGCGCTTAACACCCCCGAGCCACATAGGAGCGTACTGGTCCTCGAACTGGAAGCCGCAAGTTCTAAGGGAGAGGCCACGTCCTTGACTGAAGAATGCTTGAGGGGAGTGGGCACCCTTGGCAGCAGTTTTTGGCCATTCCCGCGGTCTTTAGATGTAGTTTATGTGTACGTGAGAATAGGTCATGTAGATGCCTGTCCTCAGGGCGAGGCTCGTGCCAATTTCAAAAATAGTTGTGTCATCTACAAGCCTCCAATACCATAATGAATTCCCTAGATACTGTATGTAAGGCAACATCTGCTAACCTTTGTGAGTCACTCATAAGAGCCACTGGCAGCAGTCCACCATAGTAGACTGACATTTCTGAGAGGCTATGCTGAGGTTCTTGCCTCCACAAACCTTTGTGAGTAGCTCTTAAGAGCTACTGGCAGTGGTCTACTGGAGTAGACTGACATTGCCTAAGAGACTACACTAGAGGGTTTCGCTGGATGGATGCATGTTGACCATCTTCACTGCCACTCTGTTGGACATGGGTTCATAGCAAGTGAGTGGAGTCATGACAGGTGGTGGTAGATGCATACTGACCATCATCACTGCCACTCTACTGGAATTGGTTTCATAGCCAGTGAGTGGAGTCATGGCAGATGGTGGTGGATGCATGCTGACCATCTTCACTGCCACTCTGTTGGACTTGGGTTCATAGTTAGTGAGTGGAGTCATGACAGGTGGTGGTAGATGCATACTGACCATCTTTACTGCCACTTGGTTGGACTAGGGTCCATAGCAAGTAAGTGAAGGTATTGGCAAGTGGTGGTGGATGCATGCTGACCATGTTCACTGCCACTCTTGGACTGGGGTTCATAGCAAGTGAGTGGGGTCATGGCAGGGTAGTGGTGGATGCATGCTGATCATGTTCATTGCCACTCTGTTGGACTTGGGTTCATAGACAGTGAGTGGAGTAATGGCAGGTGGTGGAGGATGCATGCTGACCATATTCTCTGCCACTCTATTTCTATTGGACTTGGCTTTGTAGATTGTGAGTGAGAGTCATCACAGATGATGGTGGATGCATGCTGCTGTGTTCACTGCCACTCTGTTGCACTTGGGTTTGCAGTATGTGAGTAGAGTCATAGCAAGTTATGGTAGATGTATGCTGACCATCTTTCACTGCCACTCTGCTGGACTTGGGTTCATAGACAGTGAGTGGAGTCATGACAGGTGATGGTGGATGCAAGCTGACTATGTTCACTGCCACTCTGTTGGACTTGGGTTCATAGCAAGTGAGTGGAGTCATCCTCCCTGCTTCCTGCAATGTCTTTATTCCAATCTCATCCATTGTTCTCCCCAGATTGTGACAGCTACAGTATACTCTGCTGTTCTTCACTCTCTCTGATCACATTCATGACAAGTATGACAAGCATCTTGCCTTCTTATTTCAGGATACAGCAGAAGATGTCCCCTCTTCATCCTCTCTTCCATCAAGGTTAATCTGGTACTTCAGAATATGATGTACAAACTAGTCCCCTCTCAACCAATGCATTTCTGACACAGGGACAGTGGTATGGAAGTTGGGGCAAGACAAAATTCTCTTTACCCCTAGGTGTCATCAGAAGGATATGCTACTGAACTGCCATGGAGCAGACTCCTGTGCTTCCATTCCGGCCATGAATATTGCCATTGGTTACATATGACCAAATAACCCTTCCCCAGTCATCTACAGTTCAGATCAGAGCAAGATCTAGTGAACCCTCTTATGGTTCTTGGAGCACAAGGAGGTTTTGTCTCACCCCAACTTCCATACCAGTGTCCCTGTGCCGGAAATGCATTGGTAGAGAGGGACTGATTTGTACATCATGTTTTGAAGTACCAGATTGACATTCATAACATTCTCAGCCTTCAAAGTACTGATTAGTCCCAGAACACATCAGGCATGGATAGGAAAACAGTCCAGGGAATGACTGACAGCAGGTTTTTTAAGGGACTGATGGTTCTGAGAGCATGTTATACTGATGGTACAGTATTGGCACCAGTATTTGATAAGATTTCCCTGAGAAAATGACCATGTGAGCCAGAGAGATGATCTCATGAGTTGTGGTAAAAGAGGGAGGGTTATGTAGAAATATCTGTAGGCAGTCTACAGGATATCAGTATAGTAAACATGCTAGGAACAATAAGTTCTTACCCTCAGTAGTGTCCAAGCTACTGAGGGAACAGTGTAATATCTGCAGTATGTGTGCGCTCTAGGGGCTTATGTAAGCAGCCAAAACATCATACCAAAGTGAACAGAAAAGACAGGGGAGAATATATCTCCAACAGGTTCATGGTACAAGCCCAATGTTTGTCATTGTTTATGTGCTGACAAATCATCTGGAAGATCATGTGGTCTATTATGTAATCATATTTTCCCATCCCTCATGCCCTCAATCCCATCACAAGGTCAATTTTTACTATTTCACCAGTCAGGGACAAAAGTGTTGCAATGCACCTTTTGGAATGAATACAGTACATCTCAGCATGTATGACTCTGTGTGGTATGTACCTAGTGCTCTGGAAAGCTGGGAGTCACCCCTTTCCAATGGTATATGTATCATAACTCCCCATGCAGAATAGCCTGAGATACATCACAAACATTGCAACAGCTTTGTCCTTCATTGTAAGTGGTCTTTGAACATTTTTGAGACAAGGCAATATCAAAGTCCCCAATATGGAACATGTCAGTTAAATGTCCCAGATATGCCTCCAAGGTTGTCATGGGACATTGCACTGGTCTGTAGCAGTAAACCTGGGAGGATGTTCCTGAGCTTCTTTGACCAATCCTGGGTCACTCCAATCACTCTGATGATCCTCTGACATTGCTGTCATCCCAGAGTCACCCTTGAGTCTTCCTGACCACCCTTGTCCCCAACCAAACCATACTGCACCACACTGCTACACTGCAAAATAGCCTAACTTCTGGCTTGGGTTGAATTGCTATTCCAACTTGCCTACTTACCAAATCCTGTGATCACTAGCATTTGGGACCATCAGGCTGTGCACCCATACCTGTGCTCTTGGTATCCTGACTCACAAAGCATCACTATGCATCAGCTCTCCCCCTATGACCCTATGACCCCTGGTAAGACTGAGGAGAACTGGTCTTGACAGTCATAACCCCTATTTTCAAAGAATGGGGAAAAACAGCACTCAGCACACTGTTATATGTGAACTTGGCCCAGTTGGCTTGTTGGTAGCTGCAATATGCCCAGAGGTACTGTTCTAAAGTCTGGTTCACTTGTTCAGTCTGGCCATCCCCCTCTGGGTGATAGCCAGAAGTTGTGGACTCAAGCAAAGAGCCCTGCATTCACAGGCTCTGTCCTTGGCCTTCAACCCCCCACCTCTGGAACACCATTCTGTGTTCTGAGCCACAGAGCTGGCTCCTGGCCTCTGGAGTTCTCGCCTCTGGACTGAGGGGGACCCAGATTTGACATGAGTATATATTTTTTCAGACATTCTGAGGCATCTCCAAATATAATATTCTGCATATGTCTCCAGAATTATCATCAAAATATTGAAATTTCTCATGTAGGTCAACCCCTTGAAAGATCAAATGATTTATCTTTCCCTATTTCAAGAACTTCCTTGCTTGTTAAAATACAAAGTCAATTTCTAATGGTTTCAGAGACAATCATAGCTTACACATCTGGTTTTCCCTGGCAATATCCACAAGAATGGGACATAAAATCTCCACATCTTCACCATACTCCTGAAAGGCTGCCTCAATGTGTTGGTTAACATTAGCTTGGACACCTGATGTCTGGTATTCTGTGACAGCAACTGTCAGGTCTGCTTGAAAATGACTCCTGCCTTGTCTGGCCTGCAACAGGAAGTATAAATATTCAAATACAAGATGTGCAACCTACAATCTTGAGTAATATTATTAAAATGATGAGGAGATGTGCTCACCAATCCCATGTTCTACAACAAATTTCATTGAATATTTCTTTGAGGTAGACAATGTAGGCATGTTGGAGGATTGGTATTGATGGGTAATGGAAGGCTAGTACAATGCAAACACCACTGCATGTATGGTGGAGGAAATGAGAGGAAACTTACAACCTGAAAAGTATATCCTGAACCCTAAAAGCCAAACTAATAGGAACAGGAGTGCTACAAACCAACTGAAAGCCTTGTTAGCAATTCTCACATGCTGAATTCAGATTGGAACTTGCCATCTGCACAGAATAAATTAGCACTTGTTATCAATCTGCAATCATGATGGTCACTAACATCCTGATAGATGTATGGGGTGAGATAATGCTCAGAAATTTTCAAGAGACTATATCCACCTACATCCTAAATGGTTGTATAGAATCAACTCCTACACATGCATTAAGAAATCTCACCATCTGTTAGAGGTAAGAACATGGTCAGCATGAATATTGTACAAAACTCACCACCTGATATCAAAGGCACAATACCATGCCAAGTAAGGTCAAGAGTAGGTGTGAAAATGAACAGCATGTCTCCAATTCTCATGACTTCACTCACTGCCTATGAACACAAGCCCATGGGAATGGTAGTGAACATAGTCAGCATCCATCCAATGCCATCTGCCATGACTCCACTTACTTGCTATGAACCAAAGATCAGGGTGGCAATGATCATTGTCAGCATGAATGTACCACCTGCAATGATTGCACCCACAAGCTGTAAATCCAAGCACATCAGGGTGGCATGAGCATAGGTCAGCATGCATCCCTTGACACCTAGTTATAACTGTTGTACTTACACCCTATAAGCCCATCAGGTGGGAGAGAACAAAGTAAGCATGTATCCACCATCAAACATGACACCACTCACTTGCTATAAATCCAAGTCCACAAAGGTGACAGTAACATGGTTTACATGCATCAACTGCTAGTATCACACCACTCACTCGCTATGCACCCAAGCCCACCAGGATAGCAGTAAGCTCACATGGTCAGTATGCATGTACCCACCACCCATTATGACCACACTCACATCCTATGAACCAAGACCCATCAGGGTAGCAGTGGAAATGGTCAGCATGCACCCTCCACCACCTCATGACCCTACTCACAGGCTATGGATCCAAATCCAAAACAGTTGCAGTGAACATATGTAATCAGCATGCATGCATCCACCACTACCTCCCATCATTCCACTCACAACCTATGGATCCATCACATTAGAAATGAACATGATCAGCATGCATCACCTGCCATGACTCTACTCACTTGCTATGAACCCAAGTTCAACAGCATGTCAGTCAACATGGTTAGCATCCATCCACTGCCACATCCCAAGACCACACTCACTCCCTATGAACCCCAATGCATCCAGGTAAAAATAAACATGGTTAGCATGTATTCTCTGCCATCTGTCATGACTCCACCCACTTTCTTTAACCCCAGTCCATCAAGGTGGCAATAAACATGGTTAGCATACATCCACCACCTGTTATGCCTCCACTCACAAGCTAGGAATGCAGGTCCAACAGAGCACAGGGAACATGATCAGTATAAATCAGCCACCACTAGATATATAAAGTCCACTCACTGGCTATGCACCAAAATCCACCAGGGTACAATGAACATGGTCAGCATTCAACTACCCACCACCTGACACTTGTCATGACTACACTTACATCCTATAAACCAACATCCACCAGGAGGACAGTGAACATGGTCAGTATGTATGATCACCACCATGTGCCATGACTCCACTCACAAGCTATGCACCCAAGTCCATTAGGGTAGTAGCAACCATGTCAGCATGCATCCACCCACCACCCATCACTGCTACACTCACATTCTATGAGCCCAGGTCCATTGGTGGTGGTAAACATACATCATTACTATGCATCCATCACCATCTGCCATGACACCACCCACCTCCTATGAAGCCAGGTAAACCAGGGTGGTAGTAAACATGGTCACCATATGTCCATCACCTGCAATTACTTCACTCACATACTATGAACCCAGGGCCAGGAGAGCAGAAAAACATTATCAGCATTCATTCATCATCTGCCATCACCTCACTCACTCCCTATGAACTCAAATTCACCAGGGTAGCAGTCAACATGGTCAGTATGCATCCTCTACCACCTGCCATGAGTCTACTCACTCCCTAGGGCACCCACCAGGATGGCAGTGAAGATGATCAGCATCCCTCCATCACCTCCCTCCATGACTCCACTCACTGGCTATGAATCCATTCATCAGGGCAATAGTAGAAATAATCAGCATGATCCACCACCTGCTGTGACTCCACTCACCAGCTACACCCATCAGTGTGGCAAGAAATACAGTCAGCACACAACCACCACCACATCCCACACCTCCACTTACCAACTATGAGTCCATCAGGACAGCAGTGAATATGGTCAGCACATATCTACCCTCACCTCCCATGACTCCACTCACTTGCTAAGAGCCCAAGTCCCAATAGTATGTCAGTCAACATGGTCAGCATCCATCCCCTACCAGCCCCTGCCAGGATTCTGCTCACTTTCTATGACCCCCAAGTCCACCACAGTAGCAGTGAACATCAGCAGTTTGTAGCCACCACTTTGTCATGTCTCCACTCACAAGCTATGAACCCAAGTCCATCAGAATGACATTGAATATGATTAGCATGATCCACTACCACTTTTCATGATTCCACTTACATACTAAGAAAGTCAACCAAGGTAGCAATGAACATGGTTACCATGCATCCACCCACCACCTGCCATGAATACACTTACATCCTATCAACCCATCCCCAAGAAGTTTGCAAGGAATATAGTCAACATACTTCTCTACTTGCCATGCCACCACTCACCTCCTATGAATTCAAATCCAGCATGGTAGAAGTGAACATGGTTAGCATCCATCCACCTCTACCCACCATGGCTCCACTCACTCCCTATAATATCAAGCCCACCAGGGTAGCAGTGCCCATAGTCAGCATGTATCCCCCTCCACCTTCCATGACTCTGCTCACCCACTGTAAAGTCATGCCCACCCACATATCAGTGAACAAGTTCAGCACACATCCTCCACCACTGCCATGATTCCACTCACAAGCTATGAATCCAAGTCCACCAGTGCCAATGAACATGGTTAGGATGTATCAAATAAACATTCCTGATTTTACCCACAAACTATCCACTGATGAGTATATCTCATTCAAACACAACAGTATTTTCTTACATATGGAAACCATGATATAAGGAGCACTGAGAGTTTTTCAGGTTCCAACTGGCCATACTCCTTCATAGCACCCTTCAACCCCCTTGCACTTGTCAGCATGTTTTATGTGTTGATATCCACAACTTACTCCATTATAGTATATTCAATGCACAGTCCCAGGTTAGACTGCTGTGTTGATATGAGGAGCTTTTGTAGCCCTTCCTCCCTCAGAGCATTTGCTGTGCACCTTAGTAAAGGTGTGCAATCTGCACCCTCTTCATCCATTCCTGCAGTGATTGTTGAGTGGTTGGCCAGAGTACTGATAATATATGGCATCCCTACCAGTGAGTGTCAAATAGTCATGAGGTGGAAACCTGCAGAAATCCAACCAATGCTTGAGCTTAGCAATATGGCCATCCAGGATCTCTTCTGCCAAGGCTGCTTCCCTTGATTCATCATCTATGCTCAATCCTTCCTGCTCAAGCTGCTGAACAGCCTCAAGCTCTAAGCTATCAGCCTTTGTTTGCAGTACAATCACAGGGACTGTGACAAAAAAAGAAACATTGTATAGTCACACACAGAGAATATGTATATACACACACCATGCCCTGTATCACATTCTTCAAAAAACTTTGTTTCAGCAGCTGTAACCATCCTGTGACTGTCAGTCAATGGGATGCAAAACCTAAATTCCAATCACTAGATATGCCAACACAAGCCACTCATGTCACACTTACCAGATGGCATGTATTCTCTTGTCTAGTTTGGCAGTCTTGGCACGATCCGTCACAAATTCCTTCATCTTATCAAACTGCTCTTCACTTCCAGCTTCAAACCCACGTGAGTCATGGAATACAAAGCGTGGATTACTCCGAAAGACCAGCTCATCCTCAATGTTGTGGTAGCCACGCTGGACCCACTCAATGGTATGTTACATCATACTCCAGAAGACAACCTCACCTTTAGTGAACCCTGTACAAGAGTGGGATCCACCTGAATATAGCCCAACGTATCATTAATCTGAAGGAAGTACAGAGTGGATCACGCATACCTTGTGTCCTTCTCCATCAAAAATTTCTGGTTGATCCGTAGTGTTGCAAACTCTCTGCAAGATTGTTGTTTTCCCAGCATTTGCTCTACCAATGACTAGGACACGAAAACGGTGAATACGATCAACATGCTCCTTAGCTTTTGCATTATCCAGATAATAGGTGGGCGACGAAGAGGATAGCTCTTGTTATTATTGTTAGACTTGTCTCGCTCATCACAAGTAAAACCTGGCACCTGAAGAAACGTCGCCCACGCACACGAGATCAGGAGTGTCCACATCACCTCCGGGGGAACGTAGTTCCGTATCTTGAGCCTCAGTCACGACAGGAATGCCTGTACTACTTGGTGGAGAACCTGGGCAAGCAGTTTCCGCAGGTGGGGCAGAGATGGACATCTCACTACGACTAGGGAGAGAACATGTGCGAGTGTTTTCAATCGATGCTCCAATAGAGATATGTTTGTTGCCTGGAGGAGTATCTAGACAATAACTTCAGTCAGTGCACGAATATGAATGTATACATTTCCCAGCACACCCGGCTGACTAGCTACAGTAGGATCTAGTTGATAACCAGACCGGAACAAAGTTGTCTCTGGTTATTAAAGTTAGAGTTCTTTTGTTCGTCACAACTTGTATAACATGCCTGTGGGTATGTCTCTAGTGCACGCAGGGACAAGGCCACCAGTACTATTTGGCAAAAAACCTGGTTAAGTAGCGTCAGCAAATACGTGAAAAGACATATAGAAGTAGACTGCAATCACCCTGAGCAGGCACAGGAGCGAGAACATCTGTAACCATGCTAGTGTTAGAGTGAGAAGGTGGAGGAGTGGTTTCGATCTGCGTGGCGGTAACGCGAACATCTGCATTACCTGGAGGAGGTCGACGGTAACTTTGGTTAGCACAATGCATTGTATTTCTTGGGGACATACGTGGCTGGGTAGCTTCAGTGGGTGTGCGAGGTTGTGACGTGGCTTTGTAACCACTCCTAGCTCGAGGTGCCCGTGAACACCATAATCCGCTGAGACCCCCGGATGGAGAACCTAGACGGCAACTCCGAACTAACGCAAGAACGCGAACGTCTTTGTTGCTGAAGCGTGCCGGGTTGAGTAGCTTCAACGGGAAAGGAGACCTGTAGAACTGTGTCGTCGCTCAGAACCCAAGAACGCGACCGCCGTAGACACCATAATCCACTGAAACACCCAGGAGCCATAAATAATGAAAAGGTGAGGATCTTAGATTCTCTGGAGAGCAGTAAACGTATGGTTTCGGGGGATGGGAGTGGACGAGTGGAAAGGGCGTGGACCACACTGCGCGGCGACTTGCAAGCGCCCATCGATAAGCTGGGCTGCACGCTGAGATGTTCTCCCAAACTTTTATCACCATAACTCATGACCTGCAATATATCCAACTTTCAAAACGTAGTATGTACTTACCAAAGGCAACTCTTTGAAGTCCACTTCATGGGAATCAGGACTACCGTCAAATCACTAAGGTATTCTGTGGCGTCTTTCCTACTACTCATCGTCTCAACAACCAATCGGAGGAACTTAGCTTTTCAAGAGAAGAGACTACCACAGATCAATTAACCGTGGTCCAAGACTCCGTGTAGCAGAACGGCTTGCACTGATGAGTTGTTGATTCCTGCCCAGTGTTGTTTTACGACTCACAGGACTGTCCTCCACACTCCCAGACAGAGACCGACAAAAAGGGTGGATGTGCAGAGGAGCCTCAGCATTTTATCGAAAGAAACTAAGTGGCGACCGTTCGCGTCATCGGCTGTCCCGCTTCATTCGTTGGTATCCATGAGACCTTACGGTGTCTGGGTACTCGCATTATCGCAACTGGACTCTCCTACGTCACATACATATTACAGCGAGTCTTCTTTTCCATACGACTGCTTCTATCGAAGGCATTCCTTCGCATCCACCAAACTCTTGGGTTCCGTGCAGGAAGCAACTCTTCCAACGATTCACCAATTTTTTAAACTGAGCGCAGTTCATCTTCGCCCCCGTGGAATGTCTGGAAGACTTATGATCACGCTTCACAGTTTTGATACAGCCAAAGGACTGTTTGGAAGACTAATTCTGTGACATGTATGATTCATGGTAACGATCCCCGTGGACATGCCATCATAGCAGTAGTCGAAATATACGAGGAGCGGCCCGTCTTGACTCTCGGTACTGGATGTTCCGAGATCGAGTCATACCACTCGCCCGGTTGTCACTTTTTATACGAGGAGCGGCCCGTCTTGACTCTCGGTACTGGATGTTCCGAGATCGAGTCATACCACTCGCCCGGTTGTCACTTTTTCACTCGATTATGACGATAAGCTGTTTGAGAAAATCGTCCCCGACGACGACAAACTACTTCGCATCTCTTCCACCATCAAGAGCAACAAAGTGACAAGCTGTAGTCAGACTAATACGAACTACCATGCTCATAGGTGAGTGATCGACCAGATAACCCAATTGCTTCACAGGACACCCGTTCCTGGCCACATCCTGCAATTAGGTAAGCGTACGCTTACCACTAACACGCCACTCACACTATCGACATCGCTCGTGCTAACACGTCACACTATCACACCTCCTATCACGCTTTTGTTCAGGCATGCAGATTCCCTCCTGTGTTGCACTGTTTGGACTCTGAGGGTATATATACTGGTGCTGTCTGTGTCCACAGGAGATATCTCTCTTTCTTCCCTTTCTCTCTCTCTGTCCATCATCTTGTATCAGTGTATATGCTTGATTGCTCAAATCCACATGCCTGTCCATGTTCTGTCATTGTTGTGATCAGTTTGAGTGTGCTCACCCCTCTGTGGTGAGTTCCACTTTTTTTGAATGTGCCATAGCATGTGTTGATGCCTAGCAGAGGTGTCAAACTGCTGTCTCATCACATCCCCTCCATCCCTGTACCCTTGACTATGAGTAGTCAAGGGAATAACCCTCTGTCTGTGACACAGTTGTCATCACCACTGTCTTCATCTTTACTGTCTCTGTCATCTGTTGCCTCTCCTTCCCTGCCACCTACACCACTGCTTGTGGCCTCACCTGGTGTTGCCCCATCTCTGCCTGTCTCTCCTTCATGTATCTCCTTGTTACCATTGTCTCCTGCTTCCATGAATAGCTCCTTGTCATCCAATAGTTTTACTGTTGTCCTCCCTACCATTGTGATGTCCTTGACACAAGCTCAGACAGTGTGATGTGAGAACACCACTCCTGGCAAGACCCCTCCCTTCTTGACAGTGGGGGATATCACCCCAGAGGGGTTGTGAAGCTGGGAGTTAGGTTGTGAAAATTACTTCCAGTTGAAGAGTGTAGCAGAGGATGTCCAAGTCACCAAGGTTGTTGGCCATCTCCTGGATCCATGTGTACAGGATTGGATCAGCAACAATGGCAGTTGCCTTACTGCCCTCACCTTCTCAGGGTTTATGGATGAGGTCCACTCATATTGGCTCCCCAGTGACTGGGTGGAGGCTATCCAACAAAAAATGTTGTCATCAATGCAGGGTAACAAGGCCTTTCACCTATGGGCTGTTGAAGTAGAAAGTCTGAATGTCTTGTTGTGAGGAAGCAAGTTTCATCTCACTGAAGATCACCTCTGCTTCTATTTAGAGTCTCACATGCACCCTGATCTTACTGCAGAGTATTGTTTGATGAGTTCTCATTGTGAGAAGCAGTTCTGAGCCTGGTTTGATCTGGTTCACCTTCTTGATGAGAAATGTGTCCATGATGCTGCAAAGCTTGATGCAGCCCTCCAGAGGAAACCCTTCCAGCCAAGCTGTTCGACTAATACTATGACTTTGAACTTGAAGGGGCCAGATGGCCATACTTGCATGTGCCCACCTGCCCTTACCATTGAGGAACATCAGCTCCTCCATGACAATTGAGGCTGTTTCAAGTGTTGCTGTCTTTTCCAGAACCACACCACACACAGCTGTCCCAACAACTTCCCAGATGTGAAGAATTATAAGGCACTGACTGCTGCCAATGTTGAAGCTGCTTGCAAGAAATGTGCGAAGCCTGTCATGGCAGTTGTGGAAGATGAACCAGCTCCAAAGTGTTCCCACATCTCGGAGGAAGATGATGCAGACACTATTGTGGTCATCATGCCCTCTGCCACTCTTGGGGATGGAACAGACTTGGGTGAAGAGTATGTTGCCCCTCTTTCTGTCCCCCATCTCCACTGGTCCTGTCTTCTTGAAGGACCTAACTTGACCTTCCCCCTCCCTGTAAAAGCGCTTATTGACAGTGGTTCTCACCTAGTACTGATTGATGAGTCCCTTGCCATAAAGCTCAGTCTCCAGTGTCATCAACTGCACAAGTCTCTTAATGTGTCAGTTGCCCTTTCTTCTGGTGACAGGGAAGTCATGTCATTGGGAAGCTATGTTACCCTGTCTTGCCTTTCTCCTGATTCATGTTTTTGCTTGTGCTCTGTTTGCACCATTATCACACCCAGGCTGTGTACCCCACTTCTGTTGGGCCTTCCATTCTTATCCCATAATGAGTTTGTTATTGATCATGCTCTCTGTACTTGTATTAGTAAAGATACTAGTTATGACTTAACTAAACCCCCCAGTCTCTGTGTGTTCTCCCCCACCAGTAACTCCCTCCATCCAGGCCATTAAGAAGGTTATGAGTGAGGTTCTTATGGAGCTGTGAAGTATCTTGCTGAAGTATCATGAAATTGTGGAGGTAGCATCCACCACATGTCTGTGGGGTAGATATCATTGGCACAGTACAACATTGCATTGAGGCCCTTGCTGCTATTGAAGAACTGACCAAACATGACATGCAACTTAAGGTGGAGTTCACAGATTGCTTCCTGGAAGACATCCCACCCACTGATGCCCTGCCTGATGATGTTCTATTCCATGTGCAACCCAAAGATGCTAACAAAGTGAGTCAACTTTGGTCATACAGATTGTCCTAAGGAATATTGTGAAGCTTGGAAGACATGTTACTACAACAACACCTTGATGCAGGGCATTTGTGACCTTCCAAAAGCATGCACACTCCTTCACCTGCATTCATCATCCCAAAGGCAGACCCTATGGCCTTACCTGTGCTGGGTGAATGATTTTTGACAACTCAATCTGAACACCATACCCAATAATCACCTGTTACCCCTGCATTGATGAGATCCTTCATGATTGTGCTAAGGGCAAATACTTTGCTAAGCTGGACATGACCAACATGTTCTTTCAGGACCAAGGTTCACCCTGGATGACATCAAGTAGGTTGGCCTGTACACACCCCTTGGGGCCTTTATGAGTGGAATGGTTATGCCCATGGGGTGTGCAATGCCCCTGCAGTTCATCAATGTCATATGTCCTCCACTCTCCATCACCTAATCAGTCATATTTGTCACATCTACCTCAACAATATTATCATCTGGTTGCAAATGCTTCGAGGAACATGAACACAATGTTCAGCATCATTCTCCAGGCTCTTCATGATGCTAAGTTGTTCTGCTCCCTCAAGAAGACTCAGCTGTTTTGCACTGATGTACTCTTCCTGGGCCACTGCATCTCAGCTCAAGGGATTGAGCCAGATTGCTCCAAGATTGCTAGGATTCTTGACTGGCCAGTCCCTTGATTGGTTATGGACATGCATGGTTTCCTTGGTCTGGTCCATTATTTTGCTGATCACCTCCCCAATCTTGCAGAACACATGTGTGTCCTGAATGTGTTGATGACAAAGACCATGGAACTCAAGTTTCCTACCTGGACCAATGAACATCAGTGGGCCTTCCAGGCCATCAAGGACCTTGTAGTCAGTCCTCACTGCCTGACAACTATTGACCATGACAACCCAGGCAACAACCATGTTTTCCTTACATGTGATGTGTCAGACTTTCATACTGGTGCAATTCTCTCCTGGGGACCTATATGGGAGACTGCTAGACTGGTTGCCTTTGACTCTACTCCTCTACATGGTGCTGAACTCAACTACCCAGTGCATGAGAAGGAACTGCTAGCCATCATTTGTGCCTTGAAGAAGT